AAAGAGTCCGAATTTGAGTACCTTGACATGTTTGACATCGTGGAAAAAGGTAATGGTCTTGAGTGCCAGCCTCCTCCACATCAAAGGTTTTTATGACTTTTTAAATGATGTTGCCTCGGCAGAAAAAAACAATGACACATGCAAATGGCTATCACGAACTGCCTTTGGGAAATGCCAATCAATATAGAACAAAACAGGTTGGTCATATCTGGCACCAGAAACTGTTGAAGAGAAATGCAAGGTCCAGCTCATCAGGCCAAATCAAACTAGGTGGAATTCGACATACATGGCTATGGAGAGAATCTTAAGGGTTATACAAGAAAGAGGCCCTGATGCTATCAGAAATGTGTGTGAAGAATTCAAAGTAAAAATGTGAGTTTTTTTAATATAATTTAATCAGTGTAATCAAATAAGTATAAAATAGTACCAATTGAAATAATTACTTGAGGTTCTTCTTCTCATATTTTAAATATTTATTCCACAACTCTTCGTGCAAGAAATGTCTATAAATTTGCATTTGTTGTGGGTCCTACAGGTTGAATCCAGTAGAAATTGTTTTCTAACGGAATATTGCGCTTGTAAGAAACCTGTTGGTAAAGACCAACACACTCATAGGATGGCTCATGGCAGTGATCTTTCAGTTACAAACAAAATTCGGTTGCCTTGAGACATCCTCCAAAATGTGTCTTCCCTTTATTAAAGCAATTCAAGATAGTGTCCAAAAACCTTTTGGTTGAATGATGCAAGACCTAGAACTGATTGCTGCAGCAACTCTTCTGCCAAAGTTCAAGAATACTGCTCCTATAATTTCAGTTCTTTCAGTCCAGGTAGGACTGAAACTATAGGAGCAGGTATGATTTTTTTATTTCATAGTCATAGTGTAACCTCTTTTTGCCTACTTTTTTACTACTTAATCATTTATTGTTTAAGTACAGTAAAATGAATTTTTTGCATTGCTAAAAATATAATATGTATTGTTTTGTTTTAAAAAGGTCCAGTCTATGTGAGACAACACATTGACAAGATGGCTGAAGTGGAGCAGGTTGGGCAACATTAATCAGATAAAAAAGATTTCTTTTTATCAATGAAATTAGGAAGATTGCAATGTACATGGGAGGTTGACGGGTACTTTGCTTGCAGTTTGAACAAAATAGATTTGTTGAACTTATTTTCACGTATCAAAAACCTTTCACTTAAACTGAACACTGGTCTTCATGCCTCCGCTTCCTGTGAGCATCTATTTAGCAGTGCTAGACTCTTATTCGCTGCAAAGCGGGCAAAAATAAAATTGGCCAACTTTAAAGACCAACTGCTTCTCAAACTTAACAAAAAGTTTAAAGTTGAAATTTTTACAGAAAAGAATAGACTAGGTTATTTTTGGTTTTTTATTCGACAGCTTTGTTATCTGATAGGCTGTTGAAGAAGTAACAGTAACTTTTAATCTGAATATATTTTTAAATAGTTACTTTATACTTTTACTTGAGTAAACTTTTTGACCGGTAACTTTTACTTGTATTTGAGTAAAATTTCACTCAAGTAACAGTACTTTTACTTGAGTGCAATTTTTTGTTACTGTTTTCACCTCTGCCCCTGACATTACGTTAAATCCATTTCAAAAAATTTTTCTTCGAAAATGTAAAAATCTTTGGTAATAATCTAATTAATGTAAAAAATTTTAATAATTCATCCCCTAACTGTTTGTAAGAAAATGAAACTTAAAAATTCTCTGAATCATTTAACACTTTTTATTTTTTTCAAATGTTGCTCATAAACTCAAATCCAATATTTATTCATTTTATGTCAACTATTAAAAGATTCTTAAATATATAAGTTTATATTTTACTATTATCTCCAGCAAATATTCCTAAAATTTCATCTCATATCTAAATTGAATTCAAGAATACCAATAGGTCTAAACAGCATTCCCTCAAACATTCTTATAGATTTTAACTATGAATTTTTAAATATTCTTTTTAAACTATTTAATACTTTATTCATAAATTTTCATTTCCCGATATTTTGAAATTATTTTGCGTTATTCCAATATTTAAAAATGGCTCTAAACTTTCATGCACTAACTGTAGACCTAATTCTCTTTATCTTACATTATTAACCTTCTTGAAAAACTTATGTATTCTAGAGTATACCTGCCATGCATTAATAAGTATAACAGAAAAAATCAGAAAAGCTCTTGATACTTATTATAAATGCTTATAACTATCAATATAATATTATTATTGTTTTTTTTTTTTCATTATTATTGTTAACATACTTATTATGACTATTTCTATAATTTGAATTAATTTTGTTTTCTTAAAGGGTATGATGTAATTTATCAAAAGCTTTAACATTTATTATCTAGGGTCGTTTCCACACTTACTGTGAGTTTAACAAAAGTTGTTATAATATTTTAGATTACTTAAAAAGTAGAAATGCATTGGAAATAAATTTTTGCAGCCGTCAAAGTGATACTATAAGTGTTAGTTTAAAATTAATCTCAATCTGAAATTTAGATAAATAATGTACTTATTTTGATCAAACTTTTAAAGCGCAGTTTATCATACTTATCATATGTGTTTCATACTTATTGTATATATTGTCGACACTTATCGTATATCTTAAAATCTGCTTTAGTGTCTTGTTTAAAATGAGCTTGCGGATTCAAATGAAAATTTAATGCATTAGTAACATTTTATTAAACGTTTTTAGGTGTATAAATAAAAAAAAAGACTATTAAATAAACATTTATGTAGTAATAAAAATATTATTATGAATTAAAACTAAAGATTTTAAAATAATTCCATTACTTTAATACACATCCTTTAAGTTCTTAAACTGGAAGTGATAGAGTTTCATCGTAATTATCCAAGTCTTATTTTATAATTATTATCAACATTTAAATGAAACTCGTTTTCTGACTCAGCTTTAAGGCTTTCTTTTTCTTTTGTAACTGTTTTTTTTTCTTTTTCCAAATTTTCATGTTTTCTCTTTCTTTTTTAGTTTTTTCATTTAATAACTTTTTCTCCATAGCCAATATTTTCTCTCTTAATCTTTCTTCCTCTATTTTTGAATTTTTATCTGCAGCTAATTGTTTCTTTCTTAATCTTTCATGCTTTATTTGTGACTTTTCTAGATCTTTTGTCTTCTGATTTTGCTGCCATGTTACAGATGTTACAACCATAGGTAAAAGTTCTACTTTGCGCTTGGACATTTGGACTGGCTGTTTTAGCCATATAAAAACACTTTCTATTAGATTTTTACTGCTATTTTTAAACTGAAACAAGCTGGTTTTGGTTCTATTACTGTTGCATTATTGAAATCAGGCATTTCCATATCGGTTATAACTTGCACATTTTCTAAATTACAAGTTGTTGATAAATTTTTATTATTCTATTGTATTTCATCAGGTAAAATTATGGTCTTATATGTTTCAGATAAGGCTCTTTTCCAAAAATGATACAATAGGAGGTATTCAAGACCTCTCGTTGTATCATTTTCCAACTAAATATTCGTCAACCATTTTAAACTGCTTTAAAATACTTGAATTAATGCACTTTTCAATAAAGGTTATGGGAGATAAGGTTGATAAAGTCATACTTGAATAGTTTTCTAAATATGGAGCCGGAGCAACAGTTGACTCAGATAATTTTTGAACAATTTTTTTGTAGTCAACACTATTAGCATCAAATGGAAAAATTCCAGTATTTTTAAAACCACTTTTAATATTATTTGCCATAGAAGGATTGATTATAAAAGAATTTAATGCTTCTGTTTCATTTTTATTTTTATTGTTAATTTCTTGTCCTTCGTGGTCAATGTGCCATTGTTGGCAAAAAGATTTCCACTTTGCTCTCATTGGCACAAAAACTGCCACATTAAGCGGTTGCAAAACATGTGTTGCATTTGGGAACAAAGCAACAAGAATTATTCCATTTTTAGAGCAAAACTCAAGAAGTTCCATAGAAAAAAGTGACACATCACCATCAAAAATTAAATAACTGGTACAGGAATTTCTTCTTTTATCAAAAATGGATGAAAAACGTTTTTAATATACTCAAAAAAATATTCTGCAGTCATCCAACCATTTTCGCTTTTTCCAATACCCCATCCTGATGGAGCAGCATTTATAATTCTATTTAAGATGACGAACATATTTAAAAAATGTTAATGGTGGAGCAAAAGTTCCGCTAGCATTTACTGCAAATAAAGTAGTGATGCTTTTTTTATTACTTCCAGCACTTTCTTCATATGTATTTTTTCCTCATTCACCAATTATTAAATTAGTTTTTGGTGACAACTGAAAACCACTCTCATCCATATTGAAAACGTGCATCGATTCATTTACATGTTAAGCGTTTTCTCCCAAAAGCTTCGGAATTTCAGCAAACCAATCTCTTATGGCTTTTTCAGTTACTCCTCCTCAAACTCGGTTTAAGTATTCACCTCGTTTTTGGGAAGGCTGTTCATGACGGCGAAGAAATGCATAAAACCAACCTTTTGCAGGAGGGTTGTTAGTAAATTGTGTTTTTATATTTTTGGAATTCAAATATTTTTACACTGTATCTAATTATCTATATTATCTTTTTCAATTTCCTTCTTTTATTTGAAACGTTTCTAACAGCTGCTACTAAAAAAAAAAAAAACATTTTCGTATATTGACATAATAAACCCACTGAGTTCATAAAAGTAACTATGTATTGTGGTTTCCATGTGTTGTAATACTCAAAATATAAAGATAAAAATAAAATAACTACTTTTTGCAAAATTTATGTTACCATTTAAAACCTACGATAAGTGTCAACTCACAGTCGGTGTGGAAACAACCCTATTAGCAGAAAACTATAACCATATTTTGATTTTTCTCTTTCTTTTAATATCGAAAAATTATTTATTATATATTTATTATATTATTATAATTAAAAGTTTATACTTTATATGCAAAGATTAAGATACTCAACAAAAAAAATTTTGTTTTTATGATGTGGTAATTTTTTTTTTAGTTTAGGTGGCAACTGTATGACAAGTATGATTGCAACAATTTCTATTGACAAAAATAATATTGATGTAAGTTACTTTATAAGGACAATTTATTTTTTATAACATTTTAGATAGGTTTTTATAAGATCATAATATAATTGTAGTTGTTTTTGTACTAGTTGTTGTTGCTGCTGTAGTATTTGTTGTTGTTGTTGTTGCTGCTGTAGTACTAGTTGTTATTGTTGCTGCTGTAGTAGTTGTTGTTGTTGCTGCTGTATTAGTTGATGTTACTGCTGTACTAGTAGTTGTTGTTGCTGCTATACTAGTTGTTGTTGTTGTTGCTGCTGTAGTACTTGTTGTTGTTGCTGCTGTAGTATTTTTTGTTATTGCTGCTGTACTAATAGTTGTTATTGTTGCTGCTGTACTAATAGTTGTTATTGTTGCTGTTGTACTAGTAATTGTTCTTGTTATTGCTGTACTAGTAGTTGTTGTTGTTGCTGCTGTAGTTGTTGTTGTTGTTGCTGTACTAGTTGTTGTTGTTGCTGCTGTAATAATTGTTGTTGCTGCTGTAGTAGTTATTGTTGTTGTTGCTGCTGTAGTAGTAGTCGTAGTAGTTGTTGTTGTAGTAGTAGTAGTTTTTTGACATTTTTTATGATACATTTTTGTCCTTTTTTTGGTTGTTCTCAAATGCTATATGCTGACGATATCAACTTATGTAGTTCAGTTAAGTATGCAGATCATGATCATGACCTAGCTATTGATATCAGCAAAGTTTTTCTCTGGTCAAAAAAATGACACTTTTGCCAATAGCAACACTTAATTGCCTTGAAGTGATTAAATACTCTTTTCATAATTACAATTATTTATACAGCAAATGTTATTTGAGCAGCAAACAAACAACCATATTTGATCTTTAAGTGTTTTAAAAGTTGTAATCCATGTGTTCTTTTAAGGCCATTACTTCTTATATATGGCTGATTTTAGAATATTGATTTTCATCAGTTTTAAAAAACTACTGTTTTTACATCAATTGTTGTACATCATTTTTTTCAAAATTGATGTACAACTCAATCAATTTTGAAAAAATTGATGGAGTTGTACAAATACTGTTTCTTCAAAATTTGTATCTGTGCTAATTTTTGTTTTGTAATAGTGCTTTTTTTAGCTAATTTACTCAAGGCTGCAAATAATCACTGTTAAAATTGGAAAAAAACAAAGAATAGTGTACTAGAAAACAAAGAATACTGTTATAGAGTTATAAAAATTTTTGACAGAATACAAAAAACTGTAAATTGTATAAGTTAGGAGAACATGAAAATGGAAGAGTTGTAAAACATAACAGTGCAAGAAATAAAACCAGATTAATGCATGAGGGGACAGACAGTAAAAGTATATGACTTAGCTAAATGACAAGTCATGCGAGTTGAATTTTGATTGATATAACAAGAGATGATTGTCTATTTGAGTAGGAATTGTGATAGTGTCTGTAGAAAAGAGAATGAGATGCAACCTTCTAAAAATACAACAGATGCTCAGGCTTGGCAGCAATAGCAGTTCTAACTTCATTTACAGTACGTTTTTGAATCTAAATATTTTTTGATAAAAATTTTCGGTTTAACAATATTTACATTAATTTTTTGTCATAGTTCTTAATGGGATCACTAAGTGCCAAGACAAGTTGTGTTCATATTACAAAAAATATTTTAAAAAACATTGGGGCTAGTATTCTTTAATTAAAACTAAATTATAAATGCGTATCAATAAAACTACAATTGTCATTTTAGTTGAAGCTGGCCTTCTCCATTTTTTCTTAGATCTTGGACTCTTTATAATATATTCTACAATTTGCAAGCTTTGCTAATTTATTTCATGTACATATAATTCATTACAGTTTAACTATATGATGTCATTGTAGAGTTTTTTTTACGATATTATTTTTTTCTGACACAATCAGCAAATTATGTTTATTTGTTTAACTTTTCACTAAATTATTTCAAAAAATTATTTGTAATACAATTGAAAATAAAACATGTTTGGTTCGCTAATGGTCAGGATTGTTTTTAAATTATATATCTTTTATAGAAGATATTTTATAAAAGATAAAAAAAAAAAAAGATTTTATAAAATATATTTAAAAAAATTATATACATTTTTTATATTTGCTTTGTTTTTTTAAATATAAATGTTATTTGTTGATCATATGAAAAATGTTAATAAATTATTGTATATATGTTTGATCAATGTGTTAGTGTTGTGCAGCAGATATTCTAATTCTCTAATTTTAAAATGTGCCTGTCTAAGCCCCTGCTTAGGGTTTAAATCCTCCATTGGGAACTATTTTATTTAATTTGAAATGTTTTATTCAAAGTATTTTTGTTTTTTAACTAATACTGTTGTTTATTTACAGTTACATTACATTATATTGTTGTTAATTATAGTTTATTTAGGTAGTTTAAGTTGAGTATACATACACCGACTGACTTTAATAAGGATAGGCACAATTAATAGTTAAAAATTAAAACAAATAGGTTCTTATCAACGTAGGAATTGTACATTAATAACCTTTTTTCTATATACACCCTTAATCATTGCAATTTTGTCTCTTTGAAAACTTTAAGTAGATAAAATAAGTAATACAAATTATACTGAAACTGTTATTAAACACTCATTAAATTGTCTGCAGAAAAAAGTCTGCAGATTGAACCAAGAAAAAATGGAGAAGGCAAACTTCAGCCAAAACAACAGTTTTAGTTTTATTGATACCCATTTATTATTTAGTTTTTATTTAAAAAGTTTAATCCAAACCTTTTTTTCTAAACACTTTCTTTAATATTAATGCAACTTGTCCAACCAAGTGCTGACTTGGAGATCCATTTTAAAAATAAAATAAAAAGTATATTTATTTTTTTTAATCATTTTTTCAATCTCTTTAAAATTGATTAAGTTAAAACTTTATTATTTGACAAATCATATTAATGACTGTTGGATCTTTGTGATTTGATCACAGAAATTTTTGTATGGTATAGTGATGTCACAGCAATACTATTTTTTTAAAACTGTCTTGCTACTTTTTTGGTACCATGATAAAAGTTTTTATAAATAGAGCATACCCATCACAATTTATAAAAAATATAGTATATTCATCACAATTTTTACAAATAGAGTATATCCATCACAATTTTTATAAATAGAGTATGCTGATCACAATTTTTTAAAATAAAGTATACCCATCACAGTTTTAATAAATAGAGTGACTCTATTTTTGTAAATTGTGATTGGTATGCTCTATTTATAAAAATGTGATGTGTATATAGTATTAAAAAAAAAAACATCTCAATTTTAAAAAAAGAGTTAAACCATCACAATTTTTATAAAAAAAGTTTAACTATCACAATTTTTGCTATAAGTTGAATATTTCAATTTTTGCTATAAATTGAACATTTCATTTTGCTATAAGTTAAATATTTGCTATAAGTTGAATAGGTTCAGTCATATCACAGAAAAAAAAAAAAAAAAACTTAGATCATGGTGTACAATTAAAAGTTGTGTTAGTGCACAATTTTTGATATCAAATTTTATTTAGTGGGGTTTATTCTATACATCTGAATCAAGAAAATGTAGATATATAAGCATTTTAAAAAAAATGTAAAAAAAGAAATTAAAAATACTTTTTTTTTTTCTAATCCTTAGACAAATTTCTATTAAAAGCTTTTAAACATAATTAGTGCGAAACTTTTATTATACCAAAATATTGTTTGCATTTTTTACATTTTAAATATAACCCATGAAACTTTCTATTTTAAATAAGTAAATCCTTTTTTGTAATGCTTATTTTTAGTGGTGTTTTAAAGTTTTCATTTATACATAGGAATCTATATCAACCTGCAGATTTGCCCAACGTGTTGCTTTAATTAAAAACAATGCGTTTTTAAATGAGGAACTGGATCCAAAATTGGTAAAGATATTTTTGTTTTTATTTCAGATGCTCTATTAGTTATATATTTATAAAATATATTTATAAAATGTTAAAAATGTGGAGGTACAATGGTAGAAACTGAGGTAAGAGACCCCATTGCATCCCTGGTAATAATGTACTTATTTCTCTTTCACTTTTGTTTATCAAGGCTCATATTTAAGAAAGTTATAATTCTAAAAAATAGCTTTTTAAATTAGGAAAAATTAAATATTTTTACTACAGTTTTATTTAAGTAACAAGCTTTTTTACTTTACATGAAAACATAACGTTTTTTGACAAAAAGTAAAGCTTTTTGTTTCTTTTATAGTAAAATATTAAACCAGAAAAACTTGTGATCCTAAATTCTTATTTATATTGAAGTGTTTTTTTTTATATTTGTTTATATGTTTTTATATTTCAGTTCTATTTTTTTTATTATTTCTATTATATATATATATATATGTATTACATATATACATATATATATATAAAATAGAAATAGTATATATATATATATATATATATATATATATATATATATATTATATATATTTATTATTTCTATTTTATATATATATATATATATATATATATATGTGTATGTATATATGTAATACATATATATATAATAGAAATGATAAAAGAAAGTGAGCACTCTATTTGTAAAATACACTAACATAATTTATATATATATATATATATATATATATATATATATATATATGTATATATATATTTATATATATATATATATATATATATATATATATGTATAGATATATGTATATATATATATACATATATATATATTTATATATATATATATATATATATATATATATATATATATATATATATATATATATATATATATGTATATATATATATATAAATATACATGTATATATATATATATATATATATATATATATATATATATATGTATATATATATATATAAATATACATATACATATATATATATATATATATATATATATATATATATATTATATATATATATATATATATATATATATATATATATATATATATATATGTATATATATATATATACACATATATATATATATATATATATATATATATATATATATATACATATACATATCAGGGTTGGTACCCAAAAACCCAAACCCAAAAACCCACCCAAAAACCCACCCAAAAACCCAAGACCAAAAACCCACCAAAAACCCAACTTTATGGGTTTTTGGTCTTAAATTTTTAATTTTTAATTTTTTTGTTCATAAAACCATACCAAACCAGCTTAAACCATCTTGCTCATTATCATCAGACAGGCTAGACTTATTTGATGCTGCAGATGTAGATGGCCTTGACTCTAAAACTGATATATCACTTAACACTTCAGCGGAATTATTATTGCTTCGTTTATTCTTTCTTCTGCATTTATCCAAATGGATCTCTTGAAACTCTTTCTATTTTTTTAATTATGCTCACTTTGCAATAATTACATATTACTCTATTTGGTTGATCACTTAATATGGTCACTTCATTCCACTCACTAGCCTTATTTCTTTCCCCTGAATGATACTTTGGCATGTTGAAGACGTATAATCTACTTATATTATAAATTTAACTAAAAAGATAACTCTATTTAAAAATAGATTTATATTATAAAAAAATGCAATCTGATTATTAATAAAGCTTTTGTATAAGAAAATATACCTGTAAAAAATGAAAAATAGCTTTATTATATTATAAACTATAAATTAATCAAACTTTGATTACTAAAGATTTATACCAAACTTTAGCAAAAACCCATCAAAAACCCACCCAAAAACCCACCCAAAAACCCAGCTGGGTTGGGTTTTTGGTCAAAAACCCGGGTTTTTGCCAACCCTGATACATATATGTATATATATATATATATATATATGTATATATATATATATATATATATATATATATATATATATATATATATATATATATATATATATATATATATATATGTACATATATACATATATATGTATAAATATATGTATATATATACATATATATATATATATATATTTATATATATATATATATATATATATATATATATATATATATATTTACACATATAATGCATATATATGTGCACACACACACACACACTAAAGTCATACTGAAAGGGAACTGCCAAGACCCACAGTAGGGGAAGTTTGTGTACCTAGAGCCAAATTTTTTCAATTCCCAAATTCAAGGCCCCAGATTTAGCTAAAAATGGTGAAGTTAATATGACCACATCTCTATACTAATTACTTTGTTTATTGTTATACTAATTATTATACTAATTACTAATTAATATAAGTATGTTGACTTCAACTATAAAAGTTTGTCATGTAGAAGGGTTTAAAAATTATTGGCCCTAGGTCAATAAGCTTTCTTTAATTCTTTCCTAGAGCCACTAGCTATTGTACCTAGGGCCACTCTCTGAAAATTAGGTTTAACTCCATAATAAATTGATAACAAAGATAGACATTAATTCAATTAAAAATTTGTTTAATATTAAGTTGTTTTCAAAAAATTTATCTGTTGCTCACCAATCAAAATTCAACAATCTACCTTGTTATCAAACAAATTCTTTACACACATATGGCCCTAGGTACAAGCAAACCTTATGGTCCTAGGTACTAGAAATGATAGCCTCGTGAAAAATGTATTAATGAACCCTGATTGAGAGGAAACTTATTGAACATTTAGTACTTAATTAATAAACAATATAATATACAAGAATTGTAAAACAAACTAAGATACTAGCAGCAAAAACTTTCTTTAGACCAAAAGTGTTTTTCGATTGTAACTTATTGTTCTCTGAGAATAAAAATAGATTAAGATTTTTATTACTTACCTCATTGAGAAGCTTAGAACTTAGAACTTTATAGTTTTCAAATAAAGTGGGGTGGCCCTAGGTACAAGGAGACCTTAGGTACACAAACTTCCCCTTCATACATTAACTAATATAAGAAAGGCAAGAGAGTTGATGCTACATTAACTAAAGGTTTGGGTTGGGACAGTGATATTTTCTATTATCTTCAATTTTTTCTTTCTTTTTTTCTGTAAAAACCATATGGATTTAGGTTTGAAAAAAAATATATCCCCTTTAAACATTCAAATATATATTTAGTTTAATAGCCTTTTTTTAATTTTTTTTTAGCTAATAATGAAGTTAAAACAGGAAATACTTGATTTGAAAAATGAACTTTATTTACTCACTGGAGCAGATTATAATAGTAATCTTACTGAAGAGGAGAAATTGAAGTAAAATTTTATTTTTTTTTTATTTAAAACTAAAAATACATAACTTTGCAAAATATTTTGCTAGGGGTTATCAAATCTAAAAAACCTCCGTTTGTTATTATTTGCAATCACCTGAAACCAGAATTAAAATTTAAGTACAAATTTATGTTTAAGAAACTTCTAGTCAAGACTTTTTTTTCATATACTGCAAGAAAAATATACTGAGCTAATTTCATTTTTTAAAATTAATAAAATATTTCACGAAATATAGTTCATTCTTATAAAGCAATAATATGACTCTTTTTCTAATTGTCAGCAGTATTATAAACTTAAATGCCCACACCTCTGCTTTGTTTTTAACTGCTCTAAATAGAAGGTTGTTAATAAAACCGAACAAAAAAACAACAACCCAATAAACTATACTTTAAATTTAACTGAAAATATCTTTAAAAATTTTGCAACAAGTGATTTTTATTGTAATGGCTTTTTACCTTATATTTTATTGCTAAAATTGTAACCATTTAGATAAAGAAACAGTACATAATAAAATTTAGATAAAGAAACTGTACATAATAAAATTTAGATAAAGAAACAGTACATAATAAAATTTAGATAAAGAAACAGTACATAAAAAATTTAGATAAAGAAACAGTACATAAAAAAATTTAGATAAAGAAACAGTACATAATAAAATGAATAAAAACATCAATCAACAGATGCAAAAATAAAACTGTTACCTTAACTTAAATAAAACCAAGTGTGACTCATAACATATCTTGAAAATATAAGGCCAAAACAAAAAAACATTGACTGAGTCTAACCCAAAATAACATGCAAAAGCAGCCTATTTTAAACATTTAGTTTTTCTAAAATACAACTGAGTAACTTGTGTTGATCATATATGTTGCTCTGGTTTTTATATATTTATGTCTAAAATATATTTTTATACACCATTTAAGCTAAAATATATTATTAAACATCATTTATGCCTAAAAAAATTTTTTATATATCATTTATGTCTAAAATATATATTTTTATATCATTTATGTCTAAAATATTTTTTTATATATCATAAATGTCTAAAATATTTTTATTTAGAATTTAAGTATGAAGATAATTTTATTTTCTTCAAAATTTTGTATAAGTTTTGTATTCATTACAAATTTTTTTAGCTGTAAATAAAAAAATTTAACAAAGAAGCATTGCTGAATATTTAAAAAAGGTGATATGCTTATCAAAACAGTTAGTAATTGCTTCCATAAATTGAAAGCATATCAAATCATAAGCCACATTATTTCTTTCTAGTGTAAAAAAAAGTGTTTAGTGTATAGGCATAAAGCAATACAGAACTTAAATTTTTCTTGCTAAATGTAAAACTAATTATGCAAAGAAAAAAACAAAAATGCTATCATAAAAAGAAGACCTAAACAAGTGTTTAACCAGACATTTAGGAAAAAGGTTAAAAAGAATATTTACATGATTGTGAAATTAAACATATTAACTGCTCTAACAAAAGATCGCTTACAAATAGTTCTGAAACAAAAAGACTTAAACCTGACCAAAAATTTTTAAAATGTATTTATGATCATCATGATCACCTTCATGACCATGACCACCATCATGGTCATGCTTCTGCTAACATGTAATCTAGTACAAGCTGCCTTGTGTCCTGCTGCCTTGTAGGTTATGCTTTTCTAAAAAAAGGTAAAAGCTAGAAGAAGTTTCCTTCTCCCTCAGGGTTCTTGGTAAGTAAAAGGTACAGATTGTCTCAATAAAAGTACTCGTTCTGAGCATATGTTAACTGCATCTGCATCTTTTAGAAAGTCTCCTACGCAAAGACTTAATCAATACGCAGAAAATTTCTCTTAATCTGTCTGGCACCCCTTCTTTATTTTATAGGCTGACATAGATTTAACCTGTGCTAGATTGTTTTTTACCTAGGATGAGCTTCTTGACTCTACTCACAAGTTATTGATTGTGTCTATTGAATCTTATCTCTTCAAAAATTCACCAGACTTACTTGCTCTTTGTGAAACTAGTTTAAGTTCAGCTGTTTCATCTTCAAATTATAGTCCAAAAATCAATGCAAAAATATGTCTGATGCTAAAAAAATTTCTGATGCTAGAATGTATTCTCAGATTTACATTTTATTTTCACATTTATTTATTATTTTCACATTAATAGCATTTTAGAGAAAACTGAAGAGTCTTTACTAGAAATAGAATAATTTCTTTCACAGTGATATCAGCAAGTAAACCCTTTTCAATACTCATCAGCTTGAATGTTTCAAGATGATTTCGGAGTCTAGTTTCAAAGTTTGGAGAGTCTTTGAAATAGTGCAACACCGATAAGGGATCATAGACAAATTCAGGTTGAGGAGTTTCATATGTTCTAAAAATTCTTTCTAGAGCTGCCTGTTTTGACTACCACCGAGTCTCACCTATGCCTTGCAACTTTTTGTATGCTGCATGTCCAATCATTAGTTGAGAGCAGATTTCTACTTAAATATTTCTACAATTGCAAAAATTAGAAAAGAAGTTTGCAGTTCTTTGTAAAAGTCCGAATAGATTCTTTACTGCAATAATATTTTCAACAATGTTCATTGCAGCCAGTTTTTAAAGCATGTGCATAGCACCAGATCTAGGCTGAGTTATGAGCAGCATCTTTTATTAATTTTTGACTATGCATAAGTTTCAAGAAAGTTTCCATAGTCCGGGATCCTATTTTCTTAACTTAAACTTTACTATAAACGATACAAGAAATTTAATAGTAATTGAAACAAGGTTTGCATCTCATTTTATATGAATGCAATTGATTTAGCATTAACTGACTGAAGTTCAGTTTTTTTACATTCTCATTGTAACAAACATTAATTTGCAATCAACTTGAATTTGCAATTCAAGATTACTATAGTAATGATCATGTGCACAGTCTTTAGTCCCTCATGGCTTCTGAACTGTGATATTGGCTCCTCACTTCTTAAATTTTTTAATAAACTCATTCCTTGCAGTAGGCCTGTTTTTTAAATATACACTTAAGAAAAATCCTTTTTTTTAATCAAAAAAGAAAAATCTGTGATAAAATTTAGGTTGATCTATAAATCATAAAGTTTTAAAATTTTTACAGCCAAGTTTGCTGTTCTAAATTCAAACAACAGCTTTATTAGACCACATTTTTTATCTTTGTTAAATCCCAAAGAAACTTTTTAACTTCGTTAAATCCCAAAGAAATTTTTAAGTTAAAATAAATATTTAAAATTTTTGTTTAAAAAATCATTTCATTTCATTTTCTTTCTCTCATATATTTATATATAAAATAAACTTTTTTTAATCTTCAATAAATGTTTTTTGAAATTAAATGTTGTTTAAATATTAATGAATAAAACCCATCTGTGGGAATCTAAAGTTCTCAATAACAACTAACATTTTTGATTTTGTGTACACCTAATAGAATGTCTTCAGAATCCAGAGCATTTGGAGTGGATACACTTGATGCCGGTCTATAATTTGTAACAGATGTTTTTCTGCTCCAATATTTGTTTCACAAGTTTAGTGTTTATATGCAACATAATCTTTTGTCTTTCAACTTATTTATAGTTTTCTTTCTAATAAAACATTTCTCAATGTTTACCTAACGGTGTTTATGAAGAGTTTTTAGAGAGATATTATCATTTTCAATGTTAATATTAGCAGCATGGAGAATAATAGTTAACATATTGAAATGATCTTTATGACTTATATTGCATCTTGTAACACAAGCGGATGATGCTCTTTTTCTCCTTCTATCTTTCAATCTGATTGAATTTTGCAATCTTCTTTTCAACCTTTCAAATCAAATTTTGCGAGCTTCTTTTCAATTCTTTTTAAAACAAAAATAATATAATTAAAACAGCAAAATTGATAAAAACCTATTTTGCATACACAAAAATATTTGAAACATCAACCTAATCCTACTAGTGTAATCCTACTAGACTTGTCCTACAGTGTTAAAACCTTAAAAATAGTTTTTTTTTTTTTACATACATTTTCATACATCTTTTTGCTGTAAAAGATTTTTACGAACAAGGCCGCTGTGCAGAGAAACAAGTTGGGCGCGGTACTACCAGGGACGTGGTGAGGATCGAACTCAGAACCTCTCGCTTATGAATTGAGTGTTTTACCACTACACCACTACCGCATATATATATATATATATATATACACACACACACACACACACACACACACACACACATACACATTCATAAAAACATTTATACATACCTATATACATTGTTGTAAATAACAAACAAAATTTTGATAATTTTTTTAGGCTACAGCAGTTGATTACAGATTACTTAAACAACACAGATAAGGATTCTTATCTTTCAGTTGGTGCTGATATGAGAAAAATCAACTTTTCTTTTATGCATTTAAAGGTTGTTTTAATTTGCATTTTGTTGTTATTAATAGGTTTTAATGTTTTAAAGCAGTTTTTTTTTTTTGAACCTTGAATCCTATTTACTTTTGTAATCAAAGACTGCAAGAAAAAAAGAAACCTAGTGTTTGGCTTTATAGCTGCATAATATGTTTATATTATATGCGCAGATATATATTAAGTAAAAAATGGGCAAACCATACATTAGATAAGGTTCGTCTATAAATTATGTCATGGTTAGGGGGGGGGTAGGCGATTATGTGATGATTTGTTGCGAGGGGAAGGGGGGTCTCGATTTTGTGATGCAACATTTTTTATTTTTTTTTAGAGAAGACATTCTTTTAATTAAAAGAGTATCTGACCAAACCAAAACCCTCAGTTGATGTATCTACATGTTGATTGTAAAATTAACTACACCTAAATCTTGCTTAGTCGATGTGTGCACTCCGTTACAGCCTGTTAACGGACTGTTATGGCTGTTTGTGCAGTGTGCGTTCTGCGCTTTGAATTTATATGGTTCAAGTGCAGAACTTTATTTAGTTGGTGCACAATAGTGTGCAGCAACAACAAAAAAAAATCTTTGTGCAATAACTTAAAAAAAAAAAAAATTTTTCGATACCAAGAAACAAACTTGGGACCCTTGGATTACTAGCCAGAGGCAGAATCCACTTGACCACGCTTAAGTTGCTAGTTGGAAAAAATTTTTATTTATAAATTAATATTTTTGCATGTATAATATGTTATTATTTATTGTATATTATATATAAACATATATAATATTTTGCATGTATTATATATAGAAAAAATAGATTTTTAAAATTGGTATCATGTTTAGGAGAGCGATTTTAATTTATACAATTTTTTTACGGAACTATTGGGGTGAAAAAAAAACAACATTAAACAGACTGAAAAAGTACTAATTAATTAAATCAAAGAAGCTCAGAGTATTATAGACATTATTGTATTTAAAATCATTTTGTATTTTGTAAAATTTTACACCCCCTCCCATCCTCTCTAAAAAAACTTAAAAAACTTTTTTAGGGGGGTGTACAAAATTGTTGTGTAATATTGGGGGGGGGGATCAATAAAGTGTTATGGATGCATTACAAAGGTGGGGGAGGGGGTCAAAAAATGTCAAAAACTGTATGACATAATTTATGGACTACCCCTAAATAGGTTTTATGTTTTAGGTCAGTGTTCCTCGTGTATTTTAAGTAAAATCAGTAGCTTTAGATACATCTTTAAGCATCATGATACAGCAATATATATCTAGACGCTTAAAAATGAAAAGGTAATCTTTTTGGAGGAAATGTTTTTTTTTTGTTTTTTTTTTTATAGGGAGTAAAAAACTGCTAATTTTTTTAAGAAGGTGTTTTAATCTAAAGTAGCCTAATTCATATACTTCATTAGTGATCAACCGAAACAGGAAATATACTGGAACTAAAATAAATAATGATGAGATTTTGAGTATGCTCAAAATCTCATTAGTTCTATACCAAAACAAAACCATCAATTTGGCAAATATTTTACTAAAACCAAATTCTTGGCTAAAAAAAAATTTAATTTAATTAGAAAATGTTATCTAAAAATGCAATTTTACATTGTTTTACATGTTATTAATTTAGATTATTTTTACATTTGTTGTTTATTTTTTTGATGTCTTTATTCCATCTTATATAATGATAATAATAAATAAATAGTCATCAATTAATAAGAAGAAAAATAAAATAACTTGGAAAAATCTATAGAAATAAATAAAATATTACATCAACAAAATTTTATTTTTGTTCACTTTCTATTTAAACTATTTAAACCTAATTTGTTTTCTTCACACTAAACAATAGTACATCAATAATTTAAAGTTTGACGCAAATATTATTAAAATGATATATTTATTAAAGTTGCCATACAGAAAAATGTTGAAAATGTTCTTGAACTTTTAAATGAAAGCGAATAACATTTAACCATGTAGTCTACATAATGTGTATATCTATGAAGAATGTAATTTTTTTTTGCAACTGTTTGCAACTACAATATCTATTTTAATGGTGTATACTTAGCAAAACCTGTAATGGTGGCACAGGTTTTTATAGGGAGTGGGAAGGATTTTTTTTTTTTTTAATATTTTTTTTCCCACAATATTTGTGGGAAGAATTTTTTTTTTTTTCAATATTTTTTATTATATTAACAAAAGTTTATATTACATTTTATAATAAAGTTCAAAAATAAGAAAAAAAGTTTGGAGAGGGGAGGTGGTGCAATGCACAGCAGACCGGAACAGCTATTTTTGAAGAAAAACTAATATAGAATTTAACCGATATTGTTATATTAACTAAATTTGGAATTAGTAAAAATATAAGGTCTCCACTTCAACTGATATTTTTTATTATTGATTACTTTGGATACCTCATTTTTTATAGCAACAAGCTTTTTGTTGTCATATTCAGTTTTATACCAGCCAGAATTAGAATTAGAATGAAAAATAGGAGTTTTAAGTTGGTTGGGGGGGGGCGATTGTCCCCTTTGCCCCCTGTTTCTACGCCAGTGTGGTAAACATTATATTACATTTATAGTAATTAAAACATTGTAATTGTAAATTATTTATAAAACACTGTACTGTAGCTATACCAACAATAATTCAAATTAAAATAACAAAATTGTTCTAATAAAGAATGTAACTTAGATATCATGTTTAAAGCTTGACAATTTTAATAGTTGAATTGCTTCATGTGGAAGCAAAATTTTATTAGAATTTGATACTGGTTTTCTCAAACGCTAATATATGGATCAGATGAACATAGTAGTCGTCTTAATAAGTCTTCATTATTCTTCACTCAGGACATTTTATGACTAAAATGTTCACAATTTAAAAAAAAAAAAAGTTTGTTTGTTGCTTTTTGAGCTTCTGATAACATGCCTATTGGAAGAGAAATTCTTCTTATAACTGAATGACTATGAAAAAGAGTTTTATGAATTCTTGCTGGCATGTTATACCATGGAAATAAATTTGCATCAATGTTATTCATCTTGGATGGAGTTATTCCACACACTGGGCAAAATTGAGCTGAATTTATTTTTTCAGACAGTGCATTAGCAACCTTTCCATCTATCATGGCTAATTCTAACATATGTTGCACCGCTGAGCCATTTGATAAGACTGTTGATACAAGTTTAACAAAGTTGACTTTCAATGAACTGCTCCTCTGCTTTGATGACTTAATTTGTTTCTTTTACATATCTAAACCTTATTGGTCTACAAAACATTGTTGAAGTAGAACAATGATTAAGCCAGATACTTTTTTTTCTGTACCAATAAATCCACTTAACTCTAATGGAACAAAGCAGGTAATAAACAGGTTTCCTTTAATACTAAGATTGCTTACATCTTGATCTGGCGCAAATTGTTTGTATATTGCCTGACCTGTTGCACCATCAAAACCAACTTTTTATTTTAAAGTTATTCTTGCTACATAACTTTGTGAAAGAGCATTACTTTGTAAAGAGACCAATCTTAATGCAGTATGATTTAAGAGACTCTTAAATCATACTGCTTATTAACTTATGCTGGATAACTGTCAATGTCCCGAGTTTCCATATCTGAATAGCATTGTTTTTCAGATTATTTAAAATTATTATATGCTGGATACAAGTTATTGTGGCCTTTAATTGCTGCTGCAGATCTTATAAGTTGATATGCATTTTTAGTCAGCCCACAATCTATGCGGTAGTGATGTAGTGGTAGAGCGCTAATTATGCGGTAGTGGTAGAGCGCTAATTATGCGGTAGTGGTGTAGTGGTAGAGCGCTCGCTTCATAAACGAGTGGTTCCGAGTTCGATCCCCACCACGTCCCTGGTAGTACCGCGCTCAACTCGTTTCTCCGCGCAGCGGCCTTGTTTGTCAAGGTTCGTGTTTCGGAGTTATAGAGTTGAGAGAGGGTTATAGCCACAAAATAAGTAGCCTCCTCGTTTGTAGTGGCCTTCTCGGCCTTGAGGAGGTGAAGTAAAATAAAAAAAAAAAAAAAAAAAAAAAATCTAAAGTTAAAGCAAGCACTTCATCAGCTGAAAATGTTTTTGTGCCTGGTAAATTTCCTATTTTTTTTTTACATTTTTTACTTGCATTAAATAATTCTTCTGGTTTATTTACTTTCACCAAACTGCTTATTGTTCTTTGTTTTGTTTTAATTGATGCTTTATTGAAATTAGTTTTTGGTCTTCTGCCTTTTTTTAACTTTTTAGTTTTTGCATTAAAGTCTTTATCTAACCAGGAGCTAAATTTCTTTTCAAAAAAAAATTATTTCTTTTGCATCTATTCCAGTTTCTTTTATACAACACAATAAATTGATCCAATTTTAAACTATTACCGCCAATATATGTACTTAAATTATTATTGATATCTTTAGATAAAATACTCAAATTGTTTTCTCTTATATAATGGTGTAATTCACATTTTTTCATTTTCTAAAATAAAAACTAGACTGTACATTTCATAAATATTTTGTACATGAATTTATATAAGAGTTACTAAACTAAAAGAGTTGCTATACTAAACAAGTTGCTATACTAAAAAACAATATAGTTACCTTAAAAGCATTGCCTAATTTTTATAAACTTATCAGCAATAAATATATTTTTTTGATAAATTTTCAATTAAATAATTTGGTCAAGTACTTTTATTGTTTGTAAAACCACAAAAATATATATTTTCAAATATTATTAAAATATTAATGTTTCTATATTTTTTATTTTTTATTGATTGCCACATTTGAAAAAAAACAGTTTTGTCCACTACCTGGGCAAATGTGCATGTATCCCTCTCTTACATTATCCAAATTTTCAAAAAATCTAGCTAAAGATCAAAATATGAAAACTATTATTTTTATCTTGTTATTTTATAATAACGTAAACTAAGTTCTATTGCATTTTATTTAAAAAAATATAAGTTCATAAATTTTTAAGTTACCTTCACTGTTGCAGTTAAACATCTGCTAGATGTTTAACTGC